CGGCCCGTGTGCGCCGCCTGCGCTGGGCTGGGCGGCCGCTGCCAGGGGCACCGCATCCGCCTGGCCAAGGAGCGCGCCGAGGACCTGCGGGTGAGCGGGCGTGGGCGCCGGAAGGCTCGGGGCTCCGGAGGGAGGGGGTTCGCCAGGCCGGACCCGGGAGGGACTGGGGAGCCTGGGGCCGGGCTGACCCGATGGCGGGTCCAGGAGTTCGCGCTCCTGGGTGGCTTTGGCTGTAGAACCAGGCGGTTAAGGGTGTGGCCTCTGGAGTCAGGGCGACTTGAGTTCGAATCCCACTTCCTCTCGTCCTCCCTGTGAGTCACGTAACTCTCTGAGCCTCAGTGCCTTCATCTGTAGTTTTGGGGCAAAATAATAATAATAATAATAGGCTGGCGTTGGGCAATAAAGGGCTCAGCTACTCTGGTGCAAGGTGTGCCTCAACTCCCGCCCATGTGGAAGCTGACCTCTGATGAAACCCGCCCCTCCTCACCCTCAGTCCCTCGATTCAAAGCCCTCCCAACACTCCACCCTTCAGGTTTCCTGGTGAAGTGATCTCTTTTCCCTTTCAGGATTGGTCTTGACTGTACTTCAAGCTGGTTTCACCTGGATAGACGGAGGGGGCAGGGAGGATATCAGGATCTCCCCTTCACCCAGGGTTTTTCCCACCTCCACTTCAAGCTTGACTCCAGGCTGGCCGCCTTCCTGTCATCACCCTTCCCATGAGCTGCTGAGATTGGAGAGTCGAAGTCACCTGGGGCTTCCTCCCTCCTTCGCTGTAGCTGTGGCCCCTGGGGATTTCCTTACAATTTGATTAAAGGGCTTGATTCTCCCAAGCCACCCTGGAGTTCAGCCCTGCTATGAGCCCTGAGGGCTCTTGCTGAGGACTTCACGTACTCGGACCGGACTGTGATAAACACACATTACAGGGTGCTGGGGACAGGAGGAGTTCAGTTATTCAGTGACACCCAGAAGCTCCTGGTTGGTCCTACCTGTTGTTACCACTCCCAACAATAATGCTGATGAAAATAAACTTGGATAATGTGGTATAGTCAACTTGCATAATGGATAGAAACTTTGCAAATTCCAAAGCACTTAAATATCTGTCATCTCATTCCCTCCAGACCAAGCCTTTGAAGTGATGACCCTATACCCCCTTTTATTTATTTTATTTTATTTTATTTTATTTTTTTGTCTTTTTTCCGTGTCCGGCAACGGATCGCAACCCTCAGTGTTGTCCCCGTACCGGACCGGGGACCAGCGACGGGATCGCAAGCCTCGGCGTTGCTCCCGCGCCTCGCTCAGCCAGTGAGCGGGAGCCGGTCTGTACGTGGGATCCGAACCCTCGGACGGGAGCGCCGTCGCGCTTCCCAAGCGGCGCACTGTAGCAGTGCGCCACCGGGCCGGCCCCCTATCCCCCCTTTTAAAGATGAAGAAACTGAGGCCCAGAACAGGGCATTAACTCCTCCAAGTTTCCTAATGTTCAGGGGCTGGGTGGGGGAGTCATTGATGAGGCAAGAGGAAAAACACCTCTTTGCTTCAGTAGGTGGTTGGAGGGAGGTAGTGATGCTAATGGGGGTGAGAATTCCCATGAAAACCTTAAAAAGCAGCCATCTGCTGGATCTGAGTGGCGGAAGGAATGAAGGCTGGGGCAGGGTAGTAGGCCTGGTGCTTGTTTTGGAATGTACTCTGCCCCAGGGAGCCTTCCCAGAATGCCCCCTGAGGCCCTGTGCAGTTCATTTCCTTTGCCTGAAGGGAGGTGACTCTTGCCCTTTCTGCCTCCAATTTAGAGTAGATTATATCTTTTGCACATTTCTTCCCCTATCCCTCCAGCCAGCAAAGAAATTTCACCTGAGAGCAAGATTGTTACTGAACTGGGCAAAAAAACCACCAGTTCTACTGCTTTCTCACCTTCTGGATTGCTGCCTTGTAGCTTTTCAGAAACTAGTCGCAGTTTCCTCAGTCCCATGGTGCATGGTGATTGCAGCTTCCTCTTAGTCAATTCAATTCTATAACTTTATACTTGGACCTGTGAAGTGTGAGACTAATTCCTACTTGTTGGGGGGAAAGATAACTGAGTTGCCTTTTGGAAGATGGAACTGAGGCAAAACACTTAGGAGAAATAGTAGAGAAATAGCTACTGCTTGGAAAGGCTGCAGTTACTACCTGGAGAAATGGGGAGGAAAAGCAGGGGCCTGGCCATATCCCCTTGGGCAAGTCGCTTCTCTGTGGGCCTCAGCTTTCCCATTTCCACACTCTCCTCCTGCTCTCATGGATGACGCTCATAGCCTTGGGAGCTGTGAACTGCTGAACCTCTTGTAGTCAAGGCAGTGGCTATTCATTCATTCGTTCAACAAGTATTTATTCAGGGCCTTCTGTGTGCAGGAACTCTCTTCTAGGCTGTGGGATATAGAGAGCAAGTCAAAGTCATGGTGCTTATTTTTCAGTAGTGGGGGACAGATACAAAAAGGTAAACAAACACATAATATATAGTCAGAGAGTTAAAAAAGCAAGGAAGAAAAATAAAGCAAAGTAAGAGATTGGGTTAGCGGGTAGGGGAGATGGTCAGGAAAGGCCTCTTTGAAGAGGTGACATCTGAATGGAGTTGTGAGTGAGATGCATGCACATATAGACACAGACTGCTGGAGACAGAAGGAACAACAGGTGCAAAGGCACTGAGGTCAGGACAAGTTTGGTGGGTTTAAGAACAGAAGAAGGCCAATGTGGAGAGTGGTAGGAGGTGACATTGGAGAGATAGGCACAGTCACATTGGCTAAGGTAAAAAAGTTGATCTTCACTGTGAGTGTATTGGAAAGCCATTGGAGGGTTTTGAGCAGGAGCATGACCTGATCTGATTTCTTTATAGAAGGTGGCTGTGGCTAATGGGGGTAGGTTGGGGGTCAAGAATGGAAACCCAGCAAGGAGGTTCTAACAGTGTTTCCTGTGAGAGATGATGGTAATCTGGGTAGAATAAGTGGAAGTGACCAGAAGTGGCCAAAGGAGAGAGAGAGACTTTGGAAGTGGAGCTGATAGGACTCATTGATGGATGAGAGGTGGGGTTGGAGAGAAACCCCTGGGTTTTTGGTCTGGGTAGCAGGTTGGTGATTGACGGTGCTATTCAATAAATGGGGATAACTTGGGGGAGAGCAGTTTGAGAAGTCATGTTCTGCTCAAGCGTGGATATGGAAAGTCAGAGAGCTGGGTATGATGGAGGGTTGAGAGTATATGCACGGGAGTGGTTAATATGATGGGGCCTGGGATTTGGGGATGAAGAAGGAAGTGAGGCCACAAAAGGGGATGATGGGCAGTAAAAAGTTGTACGACTGATGTGTTTTTGGCCCTAACTGAGCCGAATTGTTGGAATGTGGATTCTAGGGTTGGTGAGCTAGAAAGATAGGACATGGTGGATCCACTGTGGGATCCTTGAAATGAAGATTTTGAAAATGGTATAGTTTTGATAATGATGAGTTCTGGGATATGACCATGGGAATGGGTGGCTAAGGTGGGGAAAGGAAGAAAATCATTGGAATGGAGTGAATGACTCATATCCACAGATCAAGACATGATGACTTGTTTGTGTTGCAGAACAAGATTGTGGACCAGTGTGAGAGGCTGCAGTTACAGAGTGCTGGCATCACCAAATATGTGGCTGAGGTCCTGCCCGAGAAGAATCAGAGAGCAGTGGTAATTCCTCCCTTTTCCCCTCTCCTCTGGACCCAATCCCAGGATAAGACCCTATCCCTAGGGACTTGGACAAATCTAGGATCCCTTTCCCAACCTCACAAACTCATTGTGCTACTAGGAAAGCTGGATGTCCAGGAAGGATGGTTTCCCATCTCTCTGAGCCTCAATTTTACCAACTGGGCAGAGTGGCCTTGTTCTTAGTACCATATTAGGTACAAAAACTCTGCTAGAAAATTACTTTCTTAGGTTTCTAGGGGCAGGGGATCAAAAAAGGTAGCATTCTTCTATCATCTAATTATTTTGTGCTCAGCCCCAGAATTATAAAATAAGTAACCTATGGACTTTTACATTGAGTATTCTTTATGACAATCTTATGCAGTAGGTGGCAGTAACATCCCTGTTTACAGATGGGGAAATGGGTCTTGTAGAGGTTAATTGACTTACTTAAGACCGCACAGCCTCCTGGCCGAGTCAGTTTTATGACCTGGATCTTCTGACTCCCAGACCAGCACTCCTTCTGCTACATCTCACTGCTGATCCTTTACTCAGTGGACTCATTGCCATACTCTTAAGTATGCTCTTCAGGGGCAGGGGCTATGAATTTCTGTCTGCACATCTCTTCCCTCCTCCCCTACATGGAACAGGCTTGGCACGGCCTTAGCTAAGGTTCTTTTAATTGCATTAAACAGACCCTATTGAACTAGCATAAGCAACGGAGAATTTCCTAGTAGGATATGGGAGTCTCTCAGAACCTAAAGGGGACGAGAACCAGGAACCAGAAAGCTGCTAGGAGTCCAGGCAGCTCTTTGGTGTCTATTTCTGCTTCATTTTGCATGATGATCTTGATATCTCAATTTTTCTCTCTTTCCTCCACCCTGTATCCTTTTTATTTTTTCTTTCTTTCTTTTTAATTTTATCATTACATAATGTAAACATATTTTTGTGGCCCTTTACTAGTTTCTTGTCTTACTCCAGGGGCTATGACCTCTGCACAATGGTAAATAGAAGCTAGGGTAGGAGGTCCTGACTTTGGGGGGAAAACTTCCAAGATTTCATTTATTTAACAGATCCTTACCGAGCACCTAGCATGTGCTAGGCATTCCGCAGTAAACGACACATTTGAAAATTTCTGTTTTCATGAAGGCTACGTTCTTGTCAGGGAAGAGGGACAATAACAGATGAAATATATGGTGTTAGAACATGGTAAGGACTGGATTGCAATTATATGTGCTGTGATCAGGAATAACCTTATTCAGAAGACTGATATTTGCACAAAATCCTAGGAGGTTAGGGAATGGGCCATACATCTGGGGGAAGAGTGTTCCAGAAAGAGGGAGTGGCAAATGCAAAAGTCCTAAGGTGGGAGTGTTCCTAGCATGTTGAAGGAGCAGCAAGGAGACCTGTGAGGTTGAAGATGAGTAAACAAGTGAGAAGGCAGTGGGGAGCTGGACCGATTCCTCATTGGCTACGTAGGGACTTTGCCTTCGATTTTGAGTATGATGAGAAGCCATTAGAAATTTTTGATTAAGTATGATGGTATGACTTAAGAATAAAAAGCAGCATTTAGAGTGCTATGTTGAGTGACTATAGGCAGCAAAGGTAAAAACAGGGAGACCAGGGCTGGTCCGTGGCTCACTTGGGAGAGTGCGGTGCTGATAACACCAAGGCCACGGGTTTGGATCCCTATATAGGGATGGCCGGTAAGCTCACTTGGGAGAGCGTGGTGCTGACAACACCAAGTCAAGGGTTAAGACCTCCTTACTGGTCATCTTTTTAAAAAAACAAAACAAAACAAAGCAAAGCAAAAAAAACAGGGAGACCAGTTAGGAAGTCATAATAATCCAGGTAGGAGACAAGTAGTTTGGATGGACCCAAGTTGTGGTGGCAAAATTGGTGAGAAGTGGCTGAGCAAAGCAAAAAAAACAGGGAGACCAGTTAGGAAGTCATAATAATCCAGGTAGGAGACAAGTGGTTTGGACGGACCCAAGTTGTGGTGGCAAAATTGGTGAGAAGTGGCTGGATTCTGCATATATTTTGAAGAAATAACAGGATTTGCTGATGGATTGGGTGTAGACTGTGAAAGAAAGGAAGGTGGGGGGTCAGGATAACTCTCAAGTTTTTAAGTTTGAGTAACTGGAAGGATGGAGCAGCCATTTACTGGGGTGGGGAAGATGAAGTCCACATGCATGTTTAGCAGTGGTTGGTGGTGGAGGGGATTAGGAGTTCAGTTGTGGACATGTTAAGTTTAAGATACCTATTAGACATCCAAGTGAAGATGATGATTAGGTAGCTGCATATATGAGTTGGGAGAGGGCTGGGCTGGAGATAAGTCTGGGATTCATCAGTGTATGAATGGTATTGAAAGCCATGGGAAAGGATGAAATCACCAAGTGAATGAGTATAGTTAGGAAAGAGCAGGGGTCCAAGGACTGAGCCTTGGAGCACTTCAGCATTTAGCCATTGAGATGATAGGAGAAACCAGCACAGGACACCAAGAAGGACTAATCAATGAGATAGGAGGAAAACTAAAACAACATGGTGTCCCAGATGGGTTTCAAGAAGGTGGGAGAGATCACTGAGATCAAATGCTGCTGAACAGTCAAAGTGAGAACTGAGAATGGACCGTTGGATTTAGTAACGTGCACATCACTGGTGGTCCTGACGACTTTGTAGAGTGTTAGGGGTAGAAGTCTGATTGGAGTGGGTTTCAGAGAGAATGGGAGAAAAGCAATTTGAGATAGTTGGCACAGGCAACTTTTGAGGAGCTTTGCTGTAGAAGGGAGCAGAGAAATGGGTTGCTAGCAAGAGAGGGATAGGAGATCAAGAGGGGTTTATTTGTTTGTTTGTTTGTTCGTTTTGGTTGGGAGGAATTACTCTATATTTGTATGCTGTTAGGAATCATCCAGTAAGAGGGGGAAACTAATGGTGTAGGAGAAAGGGGAGAATTGGTTACAGCAAAGGGAGCTGGGATCTAGTAGACAAGTGGAAGCGTTGGCCTTAGGTAAGAGCGTGCACAGCTCAGCCACAGGAACAGGGAAGACAGAGTGTGTGGGCACAGGTGCAGCTATTTATAAAGGTGATGGGCAGAGCTTCTGGAAGTTCTCTTCTGAATACTTCTATTTTCCATTAATTATCACCTTTGCTGTAAGTTTTTTTTTGGCGGCTGGCTGGTTTAGAGATCTGAACCCTTGACCTAGACCTAGGTTTTATTGGCACCACACCCTAACCAATGCACCAGTGCTGTAGGTTCTTAATGATACTATTTGTCAGTTTATAGACAGGTTTTGTTTTCCGTCAATCTTTTTTTTTTTTTTTTTTAAAGATGACCAGTAAGGGGATCTTAACCCTTGACTTGGTGTTGTCAGCACCACACTCAGTGAGCTAACTGGCCATCCCTATACAGGATCCGAACCCGGGGCCTTGGTGTTCTCAGCACCACACTCTCCCGAGTGAGCCACAGGCCGGCCCTTGTTCTCCGTCAATCTTTTTTTTTTTTGTCTTTTGTCTTTTTTCCGTGTCCGGCAACGGATCGCAACCCTCAGTGTTGCCCCCGCACCGGACTGGGGACCGGCAACGGGATCGCAAGCCTCGGCGCTGCTCCCGCGCCTCGCTCAGCCAGTGAGCGGGAACCGGTCTGTACATGGGATCCGAACCCTCGGACGGGAGCGCCGCCGCGCTTCCCAAGCGGCGCACTATCCAGTGTGCCACCGGGCCGGCCCTCTCCGTCAATCTTAATGCAGTGATACATTGATGGATTTTCTTTTTTCCTTTTTTATTTCTTTTTATTGTGGCAAAATATATATAAAATAAGGTTTGCCATTTTAAGCATTTTTAAACATCCAATTGCATGGAATTAATTACATTCACAATGCTGTGTGACCACCACCTCTATTTTGAAACTTTTTCGTCATCCCAAACATAAAATCTGCACCCATTAAACAGTAATTTCTAGGCCGGCCCATGGCTCACTTGGTAGAGTGCAGTGCTGAGAACACCAAGGCCACGGGTTCGGATCCTATATAGGGAGGGCCGGTTTGCTCACTGGCTGAGTGTGGTGCTGACAACACCAAGCCAAGGGTTGAGATCCCCTTACCGGTCATCTTTTTAAAACAAAAACAAAAACAAAAAAACAGTAATTTCTCATTGTTCCTTCCCTCCCCAGGTTTTGGAAACCTCTAATCTACTGCTGTCCCTGAAATTTTTTTTCTTTTTAATTTATTTTTTCTTAATTAACCCATGATAATTGTATATAATATGCAGAACAATGTGATTTTTTTTTAAAGGAACAATGAGAAATTACTGTTTTTTTGTTTTTGTTTTTGTTTTAAAAAGATGACCGGTAAGGGGATCTTAACCCTTGACTTGGTGTTGTCAGCACCACGCTCAGCCAGCGAGCCAACCAGCCATCCCTATATGGGATCCAAACCCGGGGCCCTGTTGTTATCAGCACCGCACTCTACCGAGTGAGCCACGGGCCGGCCCAGAACAATGTGATATTTGTGTACATTTATACAGTGAGCAATGATCATAACCAGTGTAATTAGCATATCCATCAGCTCAAACATTTCTCACTGGTTTGTGCTGGGAACATTAATCATCCTCTCAACTAGCTACTTGATGTTATACAGTAAATTGTGGATTGTAGTCTCCTTATATTGCTGTAGAACACTAGTGATCACCCTCTCCCCATCCCCACATTGATGGATTTTCTAAGTCTAAACCATCCTGGAATTCCTGGGGAAAACTAACCCAACTTGATCACAGTGTACTTTAAAAAAATTTTTTTTAATTTTGAGATTGTAAGAAAGTTGTAAGAAATAATATAGCCATATCCCCTATGCCTTTCATCTAGTTTCCCCCAATGGCAAATCTTGCCCAACTGTGTAGTACAGTATCATTCCAAAAAATTGACATTGATACAACTCACCTTATTCAGATTTTTTCCAGTTCTACATGCACTTATTTATGTCTGTATATTTAATTCTGTGCAGTTTTATCACATGTATAGATTCCTGTGATTACTGCCACAGTCAAGATACAGAACAGTCCCATCACAAGGATTCCCTGTGCTACCTTTTTATAGCCACACACACTTTTTCCTCCCCTTTGTATTGTTGTTAATACAGAATTTCTGGATGTGGATTGCTAATCTTAGTTTAAAGTTTTTTGGTTTTGTTTTAGGATTTTTGCATCCGTGTTGAGTGGGATTAACCTATGAAATTCATTTCTTGACAGTCCTTATCAGATTTGGTAATAAGGTTAGATAAGCCCTATTAGATAAGAGTTGGGAAACAGAACTCTTTATTTTCACTGCAAGAGTTTAAGATTGCATAGAGTTTTTTTTTGTTTTTTTTTTTTTTTTTTTTTCCTTTTCGTGTTTTTTCGTGACCGGCAACGGATTGCAACCCTCAGTGTCGCGCCCGTACCGGACCGGGACCGGCCACGGGATCACAACCCTCGGTGTTGCACCCACACCTCGCTCAGCCAGTGAGCGGCCAGTCTGCATGTGGGATCTGAACCCTCGGCGGGAGCACCGCTGCACTCCCAAGCGGCGCACTGTAGCAGTGCGCCACCGGGCCGGCCCCGTGTTGTTTGCTACAGGTTTGTTTAGTTTGTTAGTCTTTGGAACCAGCTTATAGTATTTTTATCTGCTGTTTTGTATCTTTGTTTTTTATTTCATTATCATTTCCTTTTGTCTTTATATTTTTTCCCTACTAATTTATTTTAATGTGCTCTGTTTTTTAACTTTCTGAGGTGGACACAGTCTATTAATTTTAGTTTCCCTCCTTTCTCAAGGTGAGCATTTATTTATTTTATTTTTTTTGTCTTTTGTCTTTTTTCCGTGTCCGGCAACGGATCGCAACCCTCAGTGTT